AATATGCTATGAGTAATGGTTATAACTCATTCAGTTGGGATCTATAAAACATTTGTGCTTTGTTAAATATTTTGTATTTATACATTTTTCCAAAGGGTCATAATATTTAATTGTTTTAATAAAAGTACACTGATGGAAATCGAGGTAGCTGACCAACACATTTTTGTTCATGTTTGTGTTTTGTTTCATGAGAGATGACTTAAACATTTGAGAATTTACAAAGGAGGTAGATTTTTTTTAAATTAATTTTCATTTTATTTTGCTTACGAAGGCACACTTTTAGATGACTGCTAGATGTTATTTTATCTAACATATTATTGTACTTTGCAACAAGGGCTTGAACAAGAACTTAAAAGTTATACTTTACTTAACATCAAAACATTTATGGAACAAATGGCTGTAATGCACTTGTAAGAGAGCAAAGAAAGGCATAGCAGCTTCATTGAGATGCTCCTCTTTAATAACATATAGGTCAGTGAGATGCTGATCTTTAATATACAGGTAAAGAGTGGAATATTGGCTGGTACAGTGCCTTGTGAAAGTATTCGGCCCCCTTGAACTTTTCAACCTTTTGCCACATTTCAGGTTTCAAACATAAAGATATAAAATTTTAATTTTTTGTGAAGAATCAACAACAAGTGGGACACAATCGTGAAGTGGAATGAAATTTATTGGATGTCAAACTTTTTTAACAAATAAAAAACTGAAAAGTGGGGCGTGCAATATTATTGGGCCCCTTTACTTTCAGTGCAGCAACTCACTCCAGAAGTTCAGTGAGGATCTATGAATGATCCAATGTTGTCCCAAATGACTGATGATGATAAATAGAATCCACCTGTGCGTAATCAAGTCTCTGTATAAATGCACCTGCTCTGTGATAGTCTCAGGGTTCTGTTCAAAGCACAGAGAGCATCATGAAGACCAAGGAACACACCAGGCAGGTCCGAGATACTGTTGTGGAGAAGTTTAAAGGCGGATTTGGATACAAAAAGATTTCCCAAGCTTTAAACATCCCAAGGAGCACTGTGCAAGCAATCATATTGAAACGGAAGGAGTATCAGACCACTGCAACTCTACCAAGACCCGGCCGTCCCTCTAAACTTTCATCTGGAACAAGGAGAAGACTGATCAGAGATGCAGCCAAGAGGCCCATGATCACTCTGGATGAACTGCAGAGATCTACAGCTGAGGTGGGAGAGTCTGTCCATAGGACAACTATCAGTCGTACACTGCACAAATCTGGCCTTTATGGAAGAGTGGCAAGAAGAAAGCCATTTCTCAAAGATATCCATAAAAAGTGTTGTTTAAAGTTTGCCACAAGCACCTGGGAGACACACCAAACATGTGGAAGAAGGTGCTCTGGTCACATGAAACCAAAATCAAACTGTTTGGCCACAATGCAAAACAATATGTTTGTCGTAAAAGCAACACAGCTCATCACCCTGAACACACCATCCCCACTGTCAAACATGGTGGTGGCAGCATCATGGTTTGGGCCTACTTTTTGTCAGCAGGGACAGGGAAGATGGTCAGAATTGATGGGAAGATGGATGGGGCCAAATACAGGACCATTCTGGAAGAAAACCTGTTTGAGTCTGCAAGAGACCTGAGACTGGGACGGAGATTTATCTTCCAACAAGACAATGATCCAAAACATAAAGACACATCTACAATGGAATGGTTCACAAATAAACGTATCCAGGTGTTGGAATGGCCAAGTCAAAGTCCAGACCTGAATCCAATCGAGAATCTGTGGAAAGAGCTGAAGACTGCTGTTCACAAACGCTCTCCATCCAACCTCACTGAGCTCGAGCTGTTTTGCAAAGAAGAATGGGCAAGAACTTCAGTGTCTCCATGTACAAAACTGATGGAGACATACCCCAAGAGACTTGCAGCTGGAACTGCAGCAAAAGGCGGCGCTACAAAGTATTAACACAAGGAGGCCAAAATATTGCACGCCCCACTTTTCAGTTTTTTATTTGTTAAAAAAGTTGGACACATCCAATAAATTTCATTCCACTTCACGATTGTGTCCCACTTGTTGTTGATTCTTCACAAAAAAAATAAAATTTTATATCTTTACGTTTGAAGCCTGAAATGTGGCAAAAGGTTGAAAAGTTCAAGGGGGCCAAATACTTTCACAAGGCACTGTAGAAAAGTGGTGAGTATGTTGGTTGGGCTAATATTTTACCTGTGAGAATGCATTTGTTTCTCATTTTGTCTTTTCTAAGATAAAAAAAAAACACTTTCAAATGTTTAATTTACTGTTGTGCAAGAGCTTCAAAGATTATGCTTCTTTATGTATTTTAATCACAGGTGATTGTCAGTTAAATTCTGAACACAAGACTGAATCCTGGTACTGACAAATGTTTGAAAATATCAACTAGAAATACTTTAGAACTGTCAACTCAACTGTAAACTAGGTTTATATTTGCAATGAGCACAGCTCTGAAAAATTAGAAGCCGAACTTTCCATCAATTGGTCAAATTGTTTCTAATTTTAGATTCTTATGAATTGTGCAGACTTTTTTTAAAATTATTATAAAAAGGCCTTACAAAACCATTTCATTCAAGTTACTTAAAAACAGATTGGTGTGTAGAGTGGCCCAGGTTCTGAACCTTACCTTTTATTTTATTGTGCAAATAGATGAAAAAAAAAAAAAAAATCACCCAGAAAGTAACAAAAGGTTTTGTACAATATACTATATGTTGGTTGTTAAATTACGTTTAGATGTGCATATTGTATTAAACCAAAGAACGATAGTGGTTTTCTTATATGATGAGCTGCTTGTTAGGAAAATATTTTTAATGGGGTCTTGCTGGTTGTCTGATAAAAAACAGTTTTAGGTAATTGTGCTAGAAGATGTGACAACCCCACAAATACTGAGTACTGTGTCCCCATCACTGTAATCACTGAGAATACTTGTAATGTGACATAAGTAATAATTCTCTGCTCCTTGGAACTACAGCTCAGCCTGTCGTGGCTTTGTTCATGTCAGAGATAATTCTCAGTTATCCCATGCCTGATACACTGAAACTGCTAGTGAGCTAACCTTTTCAGAACCTTCTTCGTTGCTGCTCTTCCCATGTATGGCTACCATTTCTAAGCCTTGATCGGGAAGACTTCTACCTTTGTGGACCACCACACAGCCCACCCTCGAGCTCCTGTTCTCTTCTGGTGTTTCACTCAACTTGTTGTCATTGTGCACACGATTTCTCAGACCTAGTACAAAGTTGCCATGGTTGTTGGAGCCTTCTCCTAATTCAGTACCTTGACCTGGCGCTCGCACAGACCTTCCTCTTCTTCCCCACCTGGACATTCTGCACCACACCTGCATGAGGCAGCAGAAGGGCTTTGTTTTACACACGGCCTGGAAGCCCCTCTTAAAGTTCTTATTGTAGTAGCCGTAGACAATGGGGTTCACACCAGAGTTGGAGAAAGCCAGCCAGTGAGCGAAGGGGAAGATGTAGCTGGTCATAAGGTCCAGCTGCTCCCTGTCCAAGCCACCGTAATCTGCCATCATCATGAGGGTCCAAAGGGGCAACCAGGACAGCATGAAAAGCAAAGCTACCACAATGAGCATCTTGATGACCTTGATCTTTTTCTGTGAAATCACTGGTTGAATATGTCTCCTGCCTCCTGCCTGGACCATGGCGTGGTCCCGTTGTGGTTCTCTGTTCGCAACCGCAGAGGAACACAGTTTGACTCCGATGCTCACATACATCAGCATGATCACCGTGAGAGGAACCAGGTAGATATGAGCAAACAGAACAGCTGTGTACACCTTCCTCATCTGAGGGTTGGCAAAGTTTTCGTAGCAGGTGTACAAGGGCAGTGTGTGATTCAAGTCATCATTGTACACCATGTAATGAAAGGGAACTTTCTCCACAGTTAGTGCCACTGCAGCAGGACACATGATTAACACCGCCAACACCCAGACGGTCACAATGGCTACCTTGGAAACGAGCAGAGTCAGCTTTGGTTGTAGAGGGTACACAATACAACGAAACCTGTAAAAAGAGCATTGATACAGATTAGCAAGTAGACATAAATCATAATCAAAGACAAAATGATACAATTAAAATTGGTTTATTGTTTCCTCTAATATTTCATTAAATGTCAATGTTAGTTGTTGGACCAGACTGCATTTTGGTTCAGACTCACAAATGTCAGATTACTCAGTGATCACACTGTGACTTCTCCGTCCACAATGAACAATAAAATAATAAGCTGTTATCCTATGATTGTCTTTAGTACCACCTTTGTTGATTTGAGTGAAATATTAGAACTCATTTTTGTTTAATGTGTTACTGTAAAAAACAGGTGTTTCGAAATAAAAATGAGTGCTTTCCTGCACGTTGTGCTGTGATCAGATGACAAAAGTGAATTAGTTCATTTTAAATAAAATCATAGCAAAGAAGAAATACAGCGTCTAGATCAAACATGGGCAGATATGGACAGATATGGCCCCTTGAACAATCTCCATTCAACCCCCATAATTCTCAATTGGAATAGAAACTTTTTGATTAATAACATGTTTTAAGTGTTTCTAGAACTAGACTGATTCTTAAAGACTCCAAAAAGCAATATTTACGTATTTATGTTTTTATTGATTTATTTTATTTTTCTTAATTAAGCTAAGAAATATGTTGCCATAAGAGTCATTTTACAGAGAGTAGGTCTTATATTCCTAAAGCAGAATGAGAAGACTTTTTTTTTTATCAAGCAAGGCTGAAAAAATGTCTTCCAGATTATAAGTGTTCAAGAAAAATTGTTTTCCAATTCTCCAAACGGACTTGTGATTCTTAAAATATCTTAATTTAGTCCTCTGGGAAAAACATGTTGCCCACCCCTGGTCCAGATGATCATTTTAAGCTTATCAAGACATATCTACAAAATCCAAGTGTTTTCGTATGTTACAAAAATCTAAATCTGCAATGTTAAATGAGGAAAATTATATTATTTTTATACAAGCTGAGGTTAACTGGGCTACAGCCCAGTACACACAAAATCACAGAACTTGACCATGAAAAAAAACGAAATTCAACAGTAAAATGTAAAATATAGTATTGTAATCATTTCTATGTGACTACAATCAAACAAATTTGGATTTTCTCACCAAAACAAATAATTTTTTGAATATATTTTATGACTCACAGTGAAGGAGAAAAGTGAGAGAATCCTTCATAGTCTTTTATCAGTTGTGTTATCAATCATGTCAAAGAAGTCATTTAAAACACAAATTGTCAAAACAAGTCTAGATTTATGGCATAATGCTACTTTTACAGCTAAACAATACACAAATTTGGCGATTTGTGAGAACAACATTTTTGTTTGTTTTAGCAACACAATTGACTGGAACCGTAAGAAGACATGTCAATCATTTAATGACCTGTTGTAAAAATGTTGGATTTTATACCTGGATTATTGAGCATGGACTTTGTTGTTTTCAACCAGTTTGACAAGACTGTCAACAAGGAAGAGGGCCAGCAATGGAGGAGGGGGCGTACCAAAGAGACCATCTTATCACAAGCAGAACTGGAAGAATCAGTTTTGTTGTGCGTATCCTTGACTGATGAAGCCTTCTGGACCCCAGGCGAAACATTTCAGCACAAAAAACAGAAACTGTCCAGATGACCTGACTGAAAAATGTTGGGTAGAATGCAACGGTTTGCAAATCTAATAAACCCTTATTTATTTACAATAGAACAATGTAAATATAACATTTTTAAATTTAGAAAGGTATAGAGTTTTTTTTTCTTCAGGAAAAAAACTAGGTAATTTTCAATTTGATGGTAGCAGCACATTTTTTTAAAAGTTAGGAGTGTAAGAGTTTTTCATTTGTTATCACTTTTAAACTATTCCTGTACTTCTGTGCATACAAAGCAAAAAGTTTCTGATACTATCAGTCCACATCCGAGCCGATAGTAATTCTCTGTATTTACATAAGCTGTTTTTACTTAGAACTGTTTGTTAAAAACCAAACATGTCAAAACGTATCAACTAGTATTCCAGCACTGTCATTGTTTTTCTCCTCACCCTTAAACTGATACAGATGGTGTCAGAAACTCATTACAATAACCATTTAATCAACTGAGCCTGTACAAGATGTTTTGTTCTGATCAAAGAGTGTTCCAAGCCAAACACTTATGTGTCACTCTTACCAAATAAAAGCCAGTTCTAACAGCAAGGCTTTGGAGTTCACCTCTGGTTTCAGACCAGAGGCAGATTTCCCTCCTTGCAAGGAGCATTGGCCAAAAACCTTACTCTGTCCTGTGTGGTGTCTTTTTTTCTGTTGGGTATGAGAGAAAATACCTAACAAGGAGGGGCATCAGAAGGCTAACAACTGCAGGAGATGTTTGCACATAATTAGGTTAATTGGCAACAGGTCAGTAAGAGAACTGGGTATAAATAAAGCATTTTAAAGAGGCAGGATCTCAAAGTAAGGAAAGGCAGAGAAATCCCAGTTTGTGAAAAACTGTCTAAAAATAGAGCACAAGTTCAGAATAAAATTTCTCAATGGAAAATTAAAAATACTTAAAATATCCATTAATCTACAGTATGTAATATGATCAAAATACTTAAAAAATCTGCATGAATATCTGAGTTCAAAGGACAAGGCTGAAAGTCAGTACTGGATGATCTTTGTGCCCTCAGGAGCTACTGCATTAAGAACAGGTCTGATTACAGTCATTGTAACATCCACAAATTCTGGTAAAGCTCTATAATGCAAAGTAGAAACCATACGTGAACCGGTATGTTATTGGTCTCGGGAAAACTGGGGGGAGGCTGAGGCATGTAGCAGTGCAGCCATCTTGGGACAAGAAAATTGCTGGTTTGTTTCCATGCTTGCCAATATGCTGCAGTGTTCTGGAGCAAGCAGTGGGCAGCATAGTATACCAGACCATGAACACATGCAGATTAATGCTCTATCATGCAACGAAGACGCTATGTGAGAACACCAACTGTAAACAACCTTTATTTTCTGAATCAAAGCTCATTTAAAATGCACTGAAGAAATGTGGGAAAACGGTTACGTACTATAACCCCAGATTCTATGAGTATAGGCGCAGCCCTTTAAGGCTGTCGCTAGTGGGTTTATCCCCTTCGCGCGCAGCACTGAAAACTTTAGTCCGCGCCCACCAGCTGTGTGGGTCCCACCCCCGGTCTGTATAAATTTCAGTGAGATCGGGCAATCGGCTCCCATTTTTTTTCAGCCAGCTAGCACTGCAGAACGAAGAAGATGTCCAGCACCATCTGCCTGTGCCCGTCCTGCCAGACCGGCTACATCATAAGCTTTGACCGGCACAACATTTGCGAAGGATGCCTGGGTCTCAGCCACGCCGACCTCGCCACCTCCTGCCTTCCCCGTGAGCTCCTCCCGAGAAGAAGCAGCGACGAGCAGCCTTGTTCAAGGTAAGTGCTGAGGAGTGTTTTTCCGTGGCGGGCTGCTACTCGCTGGACAATGCCACCGCCTTTTCTAACGCATTTCCGCACAGTGAATCGGATGATTCCTCCGAAAAAGGCGATGCTGGCAGCAGCCCCGCCGAGTGTTTTTTCTGTGGTGGGACGCTACTCACTGGATGACGCCATCACCTTTTTTGACGCAAAGTCGCACAGTGAATCTGATGATTCCTCAGAGAAAGGTGATGCGGGCAGCAGCCCTGCTGCTCCCTCCCTCCTGGAGAGCGTAGTGACGGAAGAAGAGCGGCCGAGAGAATGCTCAGCCACCTCGGGTCTTCCCACGTCGGCGACCACACCGCTCCCAACCGTCGACGCCCTCCTCTGGAGCTGCCCAACATAATCCAGGAGGCTGCTGACACAAAGGGATTTTCTGTCCCTCTCCTTCCTATTCCATTTGAATTTCTTTTTTGGGAAACTGCCATTCACATCTGCCATAACGGAAGCTGAGTCAGAGTCAGAGTTCCTTTATTGTCGTTCATACCACATGTGGTACATGTGGCGGAATGAAATTATGTACACAGGATCCCAGTTACATTCAACAATAAAATGTAAAAGAAAAACAGTAATAAGATCTAAGGTATGAACTAAGAAAAACATCAACTAAAAATACGCTAAGCACTAATAGCATAAAAACAAAAACAATACGTCGAACAGCAGCATGAATGTGAGTCTGTGTGAGCAGATGAGCACGCATGAACACAGCAACATGAAACAGATCAGCAGCAACATGAAACAGATCAGCAGCAACATGAAACAGATCAGCAGCAACATGAAACAGATCAGCAGCAGCAGGATGTGATTTTTCACTGTGATTAACCTGGTTATGGACAGACCAATTCCGAAGTCCCCTGACTCTGGTTCCCCTCTTCAAAAAGTGGGACCGGAGGGTGTGCTCCAATTACAGGGGCATCACTCTCCTCAGCCTCCCTGCTAAGGCATATTCCAGGATACTGGAGAAGCAAGTCTGATTGTTGTTCGAACCTCAGATCCAGGAGGAGACCCAGAGGAAGACCCAGGACACGCTGGAAGGACTATGTTTCTTGGCTGGCCTGGGAACACCTTGGGATTCCCACAGAGGAGCTGGCCCAAGTGGCTGGGGAGAAGGAAGTCTGGGCCTCCCTACTTAGGCTGCTACCCCCGCAACCCGACCCCAGATAAGCGGAAGAAAATGGATGGATGGATATTTAAATGATATTTTTACAGTATCCAGTATTTTGAAATTTATAATGTTTGCTGATGATACTTTTTTTTCTGGAAAAATATGGATGGACTAATACAAATAGTAGAAAAAGAGTTAGCTGAGTTAAAAAAAAGTGGTTTGATTATAAAAACTATCTTTAGATGAAAAAAAATCCTAAATTTATGGTATTTTCTGGTAATCGGATTTACAATAATGTAAAATTACATATAAATGGAGGTGAAATTGACAGAGTTTATGAGATAAAATTTTAGGTATCATTCTGGACAACAAACTTAGTTTGGAAGCCTCATATTGAATATATTAGAAATAAAATTACAAAAACTATTTGAATATTGTTTAAAATAAAATATTTAATAAATGTAAAAGTCTTGCATATTATACACTCTTCCTTGGTCATGCCCTATTTGTCATATTGCTCAGAAATATTGGGAAATGCAAATAAACAACTATTGACATATTAGTAAAGTTACCAAAAAAAAAGCAATTAGGCTTATTAATAAAGTGGGATATTGTGAAACAACTAAAAAACTTTTTATTCAAAGTAATACTTTACAAAAAATTATTGACATTGTTTATATAAAAATAATGGAAATAATGTATAAAGCACTGAATAAAAGTCTTCCTTCTGGAATTCAGAAATTATTGACATAAAGAGAGAGTAAATGTAATTTACGAGGTTTGTTAATATTTGAACTAGCTAAAGAGAAAAGTAAAGTAAAATCTAGATGTATTTCAGTTATTGGCATGAAACTGTGGAATGAACTGAATGATGATCTCAAATTATGTGCTTTTCTGGTGAGCTTTAAAAGAGCCTTAAAATGTAAATTTATAAAAGCTTATACTGTTATGTTGATGTATATATGCAATGTGTAACCATGTATGTACTGTATGTAATGTGAGTATGTGTATTTATGTATATACATGCATATTTAAATATAAACGTGTGTATGTGTACTTATGTATGTATCTGCATGGACAGTAGATATCATTCATTATATAGACTGCTGAGTCTATGGTGTAAGCAAATATAAGCCTTGGGTTCAGCCTATTCCTTTTTTGATAAATTATTGATTTGTAATTTGCATTTTATATTGTTTTCCTTTTTATAATGTTAATTTACCGAAAATAAAGTTGAGTTATACTGTAAATGGATTGTACTTAAATAACGCCTTTCTATCTTATCGAGATACTCGAAGCTCTTTACAACACAATCTGTGCCTCATTTACCCATTCATACAGCACTCTACTAGATCTATACAAAGCTAATTTGACAAATCATTCTAAAGAGACTAATCGGTGAGTTATCACATTCAGACACTGATGGGACACACATGAGAGGCAATGAGGGGTTCAGTGTCTTGCCCAGCGACACTTCAGCATGTGACTGCTGGTGGATTCGAACCTCCAACTCTTGCATTGGAGGACGACTGCTCTAACCACTCAGCCACAGCCGCCCACTCGGTGAAGATCTTAGCATCTTGTAGCTGATTATATACTGAATCAATAAGTGGCAGAGGGTACTTATTCTTTATGATTATTTGGTTTAATCCCCTAAAGTCGATGCAGTATCTTAAAGGTCTTATCTTTCTTAGAAACGAAGAAGAACCCTGCACCGAGGGGTGCTGTGGATGGATGGATGATTCCAAAGTTTAAAGATTCTTCTTTGTATGCTACTGTATGTATTGAGTTGAGGTGGAGATCTGGATGAAGATGATGAGCATGCAGATGAGCCTCCCTGAGACGGTTTCTGACAGTTTGCGCAGAAATTCTTTGGTTATCTAAAGCGATTGTTGCAGCAGCTGTCTGGGTGGCTGGTCTCAGATGATCTTGGAGGTGAAGATGCTGGATGTGGAGGCCCTGGGTTGGTGTGATGACAAACGGTCAGCTGTTGTGAGGTTGATTGGATGTATGGCTATATTCTCTGAAACGCCTTTGGAGACAGCTTATGGTAGAAAAATGAACATTCAATTCACGGGCAACAGCTCTGGTGGACATTCCTGCAGCCAGCGTACCAACTCACACTCCCTCAAAGCTTGCTACATTTGTGGCATTGTTCTGTGGGATAATACTGAACATTTAAGCATGGCCTTTTATTGTGGTCAGCCTAAGGCACACCTGTGCAGTAATCATGTTGTCTAATCAGCATCTGGATATGCCACACCTGTGAGGTGGATGGATTATCTAGGTAAAGGAGAAGTGCTCTCTAACACAGATTTACACTCATTTGTGAACAATGTTTGAGAGAAAAACACCTGTGTACATAGAAAAAGTCGGATTTTTAAGTTCAGCTCATGAAAAATAGTTGCGTTTATATTTTTGTTCTGTATATGTTCCATTGTGAATAAAGTTTACGTTTATGGGATTTGCAAATGATTGCATTCTGTATATATTTACATTTTACATTACTTCAACCTTTATTTAGAGAGGTTAATCCCACTGAGCCTCGGGGACTCATTTACAAGAGAGACCTGATTTTAACAAAGAGTGATGACAACAGTAGACAACAATAGACAATCATAAAGAATGCATACAAAATGAGGAGAACAAATGAAGGAAACTATTATATAAAAAAACTAAACAAAAACAGCTAGATTGTAAAGCGATGTAGAAAACTAAAAACAGGAACATATCATGACATGACATCCCAAATAATTTGGAATTGTGGTTTTACAATTAGCCCTGTGATGGACTTGCGACCCGTCCAGGGTGTACCCCGCCCCTCGCACAGTGATTGCTGGACATGGGCACCAGTGACCCCCGTGACCCAAAAATGGAATAAGCGGGTAAAGAAAATGGATGGATGGATGGATGGATGGTTTTACAATTAAGCACTTTTTTCCTCATCCATGATGAAAAAGAACCGGCACCCTTACACAATAATTTCCTTCTTTCTTTTTATTTTTTGCACTTCTGTCTTTAATTGTAATGTGATTACCCAATCAGAGTGAAAATAGGTTTTTTTTTGTATGTGTTTCTGTATAGTAAAGTTAAAATCTAATAAATTACTGTTTTAAAGTGTTGTTGCCTGTAGATTTGCATGTTAGTAATAAAATGTTGCTCAAGCTTCCTCAACAATGTTCAACAGAGTCAGAAACAGTACTGTGGAGTCAGAATCTCACTACTTCTTTATAAATATTGAGCTGGTAACAGTTGCTAGGTTTGTGAGCACACCGTGTACAAACCTTTCAACGGCAATGGCCACCAGGGTAAAGACTGAAGCCGACACGGAGACTCCCTGCACAAATCCGCTCATCTTGCACACCACATTAGAGAAAGGCCATCCTGCAAAATAATAAAAAATAAAATCACCTCTTAAGCAACAAATTCCCATGTAGAATTTGCAACTCTTTGTTTTAGAAACTCTTATAAGATTTTTACAGCTGACTTAGATTGAAGATTTCAACTTCATTGTGGTGGATACAGGCATCAAGTTTTGATGACATGCATACTAGTTGCCATACTAGACTTCTTACTATTTTATTATTTTGGGGGAGTCACACAATTTCACGCTCCATCTCTATAGGTGATTTGATGAATGTGGACAATGACAAATCTCTCACACGTCTCGTCAAAATAAGCTTTCTTGTTGTTCTTCTTTAGCTGCTGTGAGCATCTTAATGAATTGTATCATCACACACATGTTGTTGATCCTCAAACCAGTCTGGTCACAAAATTGTGGGCTGCATGCAGGTGACATTGTGCATGAACACATTCGTCTACTATTAATAGTTAAATATAATACTTAAACTATTAATATCTTTGATTTTTTTCCCCTCAGAAATATTGCTTATTGTCAGAAGTCACCACTTCTAACCACATGACCAACAACCTCAGTAAACAATAATAAAAAAACCCTCATGTTTAATAATAGCTTCTTCTTTATCTTTTAAAATGTCCCACTTTTTAACCAGAAAATCATTATTCTTTTTTTTTTTTTTTTTGTATTTAAATCCGTTGTAATAATGAGGCCTGCAGGCGAGTTATTTGTTTACTGTGCTCGCTCTCATTTGACACCTGGAACAGACTGTGAGTCAGTACAGAATGGTTTCTGTACATCAGCATCTGACAGGTGTAGGTGCTTGAAATGTAACAATGTGTTGCAGGGAAAAAATAAAAGTCACACTTATATAAACAAATCATTTTATATGTTTGGTCAAAAAAAACAAACAGATCAAGCAGGTAGAGATGAGAAAAAATAGTTAATTCTTTAATTATATATATTTTTTGCAGTACACATTGAAAAACAAGTCTCATGAATCCAAACTCAACACAAGGATTCAATGCAGCATTTAGTGCCAGAGACAGTCACTATCTTATCTTATCTTATCTTATCTTATCTTATCTTATCTTATCTTATCTTATTGTATCTTATTGTATCATCATATCTTATTTTATCTTAATTACCTCTTATTTCATTTATTGCATATCTCTCATGTGTAGGTATTTTAAAATACCCTCTATGATAATCTGGTTGTACAGTCGAATTGAACCATGGTTCATTTCTAGATAGTGCTTTATTGCCATTTTTAATTCACACATGCACAGTCTTCTTTATTTTCTGTATCCATAAAATTAATGTTTATCCATCCATCCATTATCTTTACCCACTTCTTCCTTTCTAGGTCCTGGGGGTCGCTGGTGCCAGTATCCAGCAGACACTGTGAGAGAGTTGGGGGACAACCTGGACAGACGTCCAGTCTATCACAGGGACACATAGAGACAAACAACCATTCACACTTTCACTCATGCTTAGAGATCATTTTAGAGTTACCAGTCAGCCTAGCATGCATGTTTTTGATCCGAGTTATATATCACATATCAGTGTCTTGACACCTGAAGACATTTTGTCTAATAAAGGTGCCAGTAAGAAATGAAACCACTGACTAGCTTAGAAGTTTAATTAGATGAAACCAGTGTGAAACTCACATTGCAGACTGGCCAAAAATTTATTTTGGTATTATTCTTATTACCGGGACATGGAAGCGTTTGACAAATTTGATGTCTCCACAATTCTCTTTCATATATTCTAAAAAATATTTTCAGATTCTGGAGGCCTGGAGTTATAATGAACTATGATGCAACACTTATTCTGAGTTAGCTGTAATACGTCTTCATTTAACACGAGGGTCTCACTTATTTTCCTGTAAACCTCTCCTGTTATTGAAGCATTGTGCATGAAACTTTTTTACAGTTACTACGTGCACATGCTCAGTGTCACTACTTTGTGAAGCATCATGGTCTAGATATTTTCATGCCTACTTCCAGATCCACTTAGTCTAAACAGTGTTCGTACTACCAATGCTTCAGCTGTGCTCTGCATTCACATGACAACTTTGCATGTTGAGGATATTTTATCATCACAACATAAAATACCAGTAAAACTAATTTATTACTCTTGCATATGAAAGACAGTTTAAATAGAGATAAATGCCACCCTTGAATGTATTTGGCCCATGTGGTGCTGGATTTTATGCATGTGCATTGGTAACTAAAAACTATGAAATGTATGTCTACAGTAAATGAACAAAACTTCACACATTAAGTGAATATTTATCACCTTACACCTCTTTATAACAACTGCTGCAGTCAGTTTGACGACAGCTAACTGTACTGTCGTCACCTGGGATCAAGTCAAAACACCCAAACTAAAGTGGCAAAGCCATTTTTAGACCATTGTGACCCTGGTGTGTACACCACGCACTTGCTCAGTAGTCAAGTTAGCTTTGTAGATTTCTGCCACTGAATCACAAAGCTGTGAGCTGCCAGGCAAAAAAAAAAAAAAGCCCATCAAAAATAAATAGATAAAAACAACAACTGTGCTCAATTTGATGTAATTATATGACATTTTACAGGCTAGTAATGACACCTAACGAGAGCTGCTATCGGCTGAGAATGTCATCAGTTTGTTTATGCTGTGATAAAGTATGAAACATTTCCTGTCAACAAGTCCTCATCGATGAAAAACAGGTTATGAATTCTTTGCATTTCTTCAATTCAAGTGAAAAAAGGATTCCACAACAATCAATATTTGTTTTAGCAAAATCAATGAGGGAAACACGCAATTAAGAAAGTCTTTATAGAGCTTTTAAGATTATTCAGTTAATCCCAGTCAAGCATTACTGCACAAAATAAATCTTTGTGAAACCTTCAGGCACACAGCTGGTGGACCGGCAGCAGAGGAGTGTTTGAAACAAGCAGTCTGTGAGCACATGTATGACAACAACTCATTTTTAATGAGGAAACAATACAAACAGCACGACAAACTGGCAACCCAGTGGGCAGTTTGATCATACGAGGAAGCTCGACCAGTAAGTTCAGATCATTTGGCATTGTTGTTCCAACTTCTGTTACCAATTATATTATAAAGTTGTAGCAGATTTTTTAAATCAGAAGTCCAATAATGATTTAACGATAAGTCAATATTGATTAGTACCAACACAAATAAATGTTTCAGCATGAAGAAAGGATTGTAAATAATTTAAATTAAATACCCAACATTTTTCAGTCAGGTCATCTGGACAGAGCATGGACTTTGTTGTTAAATTAAATACATTTCAAAGCTGCACATTCTTCTCTACTAGCCATTTTATCCTTTGTGAACTGCATGTGTAGGCTCCAGACGCTCATGCTTAGTCTTGCTTTATGATTTATCAAACCTTCTGGGGGGTAAATTAAGCTCTTTTTAGTTGTTAAAGATAATTCTTTGAACAGGTGCTGCTGGCAAAATGTGAAACATCATCAAGATCAAAATCTATTTGCGTTTGAACTTTTGAATGTTTGAACAAAAGTGTTGAGGATAACTCACAGCTAGTACCATATCAGATCTTAGTGTTGTTATGTTGTTTATTTGTTATATGCAGGTTAATATAAGGTCAGCAATGCAATGAAATGTTCAGGATGAGAAGAACCAATTCGACTCACAAAACAACAAAAAAACATTTTTTAATCCTGCAATAAAGGTACAAAATAAAGTACCAAAAAGTGAAAAAGAAATATAATATATACATGGTTCAAAAGAAATACAGTAAACAGCAACATGGTAGAATATGATTGTGCAAGTAGGATGAATTTGTATAAATAAGTATTTCAAGGTAGTAATATACGCTTAAATGCACATGATGTATACTGCACATAACTAACATAAACTACACAGGTTGTATGACAGATTATTGCACAGGTAGTGAGTAACACTGAGATGAATTATGATGGTAAGGTAGCGACATACATGATACAGCCACATAGTGCAGCAGCAATAAACATATTAGGTGTCATAGATGTGGCTTGGTGCAATGTTATTGTCAAAATTTCAGTACTATTTTTTCTTCTATTTTATCTTTGAATGGTGTTCCTATTGAGTTTGTTGATTTTTATCTTGGGTATCTTGGTCGATTCACTTCTCTCTTTTAAGCCCCACTTCAAAAATGTAGTAAAGAAACTGAACATAAAACTGGGTTTCTCTTTAAGAAATAGATTCTGTTTAACTCTGAACACTAGTAAAAGCCTTGTAACTGTGACTGTCCTTCCCTCCATTGACTACATTGACATTATCTACATGAACGCTCCTACAAGCACCCTGCAGATGTTGGACACTATCACGGTGCGATAAGATTCATAACCGGCTGTAACTACTGTACCCACCATTGCACCCTGTATTCACTGGTTAACTGGTCATCATTAACTTCACGCAGACTCTCCCACTGGTACATTTTCATCTTTGAATCACTTCTTGGTCTGTTGCCTTCATACATCTCCTCCTACATGTCACTTTGTCAGTGCAGCTACAGTGTGCGCTCTCAGGACATTATTACCTGCAGTGTTCCCTCAGTGAGAACTGAATTAGGCAAAAGGGCCTTCTCCTACTCCGCTTCTGTTTCCTGGAATTGCTAGCAAATGATCTGAAGTTGTCGACTTTGACCTCTCTAAGTGGCTTCAAACATCTGCTAAGTTCATGGCAAAAACCAACGCAGTCATGTTCCTGTTTTTAGTATTTTACATGCAGTATTTTTAATGCAGCTGTTTTGGTTTCATTTTTTAAAATCATTTTTCGTATTTAGATGATACAGTGGTGGTGAGATGCATCACAAACAATGAGTCCAGCTACAGGCAGGAGGTGGAACACCTGGAGAGCTGGTGCAAAGAGAATAACCTTCACATCAATGTGAAGAAGACAAAGGAGATGATTGTGGACTTCAGAAGGAACAAAAACACCTACACCCCCCTGAACATAAGAGGATCTGTGGTAGAAGTGGTCTCCAGCTACAAGTACTTGGGTGTACACATGA